CGATAAACGAGGGATTGCTGTAGTTCATACACCCCCCTACTGCTGCTCTCCAGAGTGTTCTGCAGCATAATCAGCACGTTCTCTTTGAACTTGATAGTGTAATGACCTGGCTGGGGTTGTAAGCCAGGTGCATTCTGGGTATTGTGTTATATGTGTTTCCTATCGTTCTGCTAGTTCCTATGTGCTGATTTGCGTGTTGTGTGAGTGTTATGTAAGCCACAGGGAAGGTGATGTGTGTTCTGTGGAGCAGGTTCAATTAGCATGGTTAACTGACACCGTGACTCTGTGTGGTAGGAGCGTGATAGAGGATCGTGTCTGTAGCGTTACAAAGCATTGAAGAAAAAGCCTAATAAAAGTCTGCGTGAACCCCTACTGCCACCTGCTGGTTGATTTGTGGACTATAACCTTGCCGCTGGGACGCTCGTACTTGCTTGTTACCACATTCCACCCGGCCACAATAAGAGACAGGCCATTATTTACCTCTGCTGACTCCGACACCGGCCAAAATTGGAGACCCGGCCTTTAATTGAATACCGGCCTGTATTAGAGGTTTACGGTAAAAAAGAATTTAGAAAATGGTTAAAAATATATTTAAAATGAGCAAAAAATAGACAATTGTGATAAAAAATGTTAAGAAAGTAAAAGAGAATAGGAAAGAGGGAAATCAGTGGATCCTGAGGAAGGTGGAATAGGTGGGGAGAGCAAAATAAAGAGAGAGGGGTTGAAGAAGGTCATACAAAAGCCAGCTTGAACATGTGAGTCTTCAGCTGCTTTTAAAGGAGACCACTGAGTCCATTGATCTCAGGCTCAGGGGGAGAGAGGTCCAGAGTCTGGGGGCCATAGCAGCAGATGATCTGTCACCTTTGGTCCTTAGCCTGGTGCGCTGCACACAGTAGGCTTTGATCACTGGACCTCAGGGACCTGCTGGGGGTGTAGGGACTAAGAAGATCACCAATGTAAGATGGTGCTTGTCCATGTAAGGCCCTATAGACCAGAACCAGGATCTTGAAATGAACCCTGAAGTTGACTGGCAGCCAATGAAGCTGGAGCAGAAGCAGGGTGATGTGGGTGTGTTTGGAGAACTTGGTCAGAAGCCGAGCACAGGCGTTCTGACCCACCTGTAGACGGTTCAGGGAGGTTCTGCTCAGACACGTGAAAGAGAGTTACAGTAGTCTAAGCGTGAGGAGATGAAGGTGTGGATAACCGTCTCAAGTTCAGAGCGGGACAGAATGGGACTCGGCTTAGCAATGTTCCTGAGATGGAAGAAGGAAGAGCAAACAAGAGAACTGACATGAGAATCCAGGGTGAGAGCTGGGTCAAAGGTCACACCAAGATTCCTGACGGATGGTTTGGTGTGAGAAGCAAGCTGACCAAGAGAGTCTCTGACTTTGGGAACCAGCTTGTCTGGGGCACAGATGAGGATCTCATTCTTATCTTCATTCAGCTGTAGATAGCTCCCAGCCATCCAGGTTTTGATAGTCTTAGCAGGTGTGTAACAGCTGCATCTTAGACATCTCATGAGGCTTAAAGGAGATGTACAGTTGGATGTCATCTGCATAAAGATGGTAGGAGATTAATTTGAAGGAGCTCAGGATGTGCTTAAGAGGGAGCAGATAAAGGAGGAAGAGCAGAGGCCCCAGCACAGAACCTTGTGGGACACCATGGTTAAGGGAGGTGGTGGAGGACCTAAACTTGGAGACGGCCACAGAAAAGGAGCACTCAGAAAGATAAGAGGAGAACCACTCCAGAGCAGTTCCTGACAGGCCTACCCCATCTCTCAGCCTCTCCAGCAGCAGGTGATAGTCTACAGTGTCAAAGGCTGCAGTCAGGTCCAGCAGGACCGGAACAGAACAGTCCCCTGCATCACTGTGAGTCAGAAGGTCATTAGAGACCCTAAGAAGAGCGGTTTCAGTAGAATGAGCTCTACGAAAACCTGAGCTGAGTTCAAAGTAGATACTTTGAGGAGTGAGGGGGCACAAAACGACAAGGTTACAAGTCTTACTCATTCATATTCATGATATGCAAATGTATCTCCTCTGATTGGCTAACATCAACAAGGTTCCTCTACAGGTTCTTTGTTGGCTCTTCTTTTATGATTAAACTACTAAATTACTGCGACGCTGATGTTTCATCTCCACAAATAACAAGCATCAACGTGTTGCCATGTAGTAAAGATGCTAATCTGAATGCTGACGGTTAGCATCAAATAACCCTGACCTGCTCTGCTCTCTTATTTCTTTGGGTGGTCTCAAGCCAAGGTGGGCGGTGCCATCATTTTCCTAGCGACATAGAAGAGACTGGCCATTTCTGACCAAGTCGTCACGACTATCTTCTTCCTACAGCCAATGCCGGTGGTGGGAGTTGAAGACGATGTTCAGATTCAGCACAAAAATGCAACTCACCCTCCTTTCCACCTGATGTGTGAGCGTCGTGAAACGGCCACAAAACATTAGCTGCCGTTATAGCGGGCAGGTGCCTTTCCACCGGCTACAGAGCGTCACATTTTGGACAGGTCCCAGAAGCGTAAGGAACGTGTTGCTTATGTTTCAATCAATCAATCAATCAATCAATCAATCAAAGCTTTACTTATAAAGTGCCTTCCGCGACCCTGTCAGGAAGCCCAAGGCGCTGAACACAGTACATAAAAAATGTGAAACACAATGAATAAACAGATAATAAAAGCTATTCAAATAGTGCAAAAAAATAAAATAAGTTAAACATTAAAGTAGAAACAAATGGATAAAACAAGGGATAAAAAGACCAATGAAAGCAGGGAAATAAAATTAACATAAAAGAGGGCCGACCTCAAACATGTTGAGGAAACGCCAAGCGGAAGAGGTGGATTTTTAGGCAACTCTTAAAGATCGGCAGAGATGGGGACAGACTAACTGAGGGTGGTGACTGGTTCCAGAGTGATGGGAGGACTGAGAAAGCCCAGTCCTCACGAGTACAATACCTAGAACGAGGGACAGCGAGCAGGCCTTGGTCGGAGGAGCTCAGAGCACGTGATGGGGAATGTCCTCAGAATTTTATTTACTTTTAGTATGAATTGGCCTATCAGCAGCAAAGTTCAATAAAATATGCATTTTCCATTGAAGTACCCATCTTTCTCGTGTTTATGATCATTTCTCACACAATTAAAGCAATCTCATGCTAAATTTAAGAAAAATTTAATAATTATCCGATTAGTCGACTAATCGTTTCAATAGTTGGTGACTATTCGACTATTAAAATAGTCGTTAGTTGCAGCCCTAATATTAATTAGTAATAACATTTTGTTCCCAACCCTCAATTTTTTGACAACCCAAACTGCACCAAATCAAACGAGTAACCCTACTGTATCTTCATTACAAGCAATAATCACGAGAATCGCAAGCATACACGTGATCTAGTTTTGCCTAAAGGTCCAGCTAACCAACAACAAACACTCTCCTCGTCTAGACCATGGTGATTACCAATAATCTGGCAAGGGTGGAAGCATTCCTGACTAAGATCTGACTCACAACGGTGCAACAATTTGCTGAAATACTGCAGGAAAGTGATGGCCCAAGGTTACTTTGAGGTCATTGGTAAAGTCCTATACACAGTTGAATAAACTGCAGCATTTGCACGGGGGCTGCTGCTGACAGGTTGGCAAAGGTTTTTGCCCAATTACAGCAAGAAAAGGGATGAAGCAGGATAAAGCAAACCACTACACTACACCTAATGAGGACGTGGTATGATTGCTGTGGGACTCCATTGTGCCCACAACACAACTATTCGATTGGTATAAAATGGACAGAATGAAGTGGCAGAGAGAGCGACAGAGATAGAGAGGGAGGGAATAATGAAAGTGAGAAGGATTGATTCCTCGCTCAGTGTGAGAGTGTGTGGGTGGATATGAAATGCTGCGAACAAAAGTGGTAAAGAGATAGATGCAGAACCTCGGCGGCCATGTCTTTACTCCCTTTTTCAGTATTTACATACTAATCCAGAGAAACTGTATAATGTCAAAGATTATTTTATGAGTGTTACTTCATGCAAGCATATCCAAAACTGTTACACAATCACTGATGCCGTTGCCCTAGCAACACATAAAATAAGACCGTTTGTGGCATTACTAGTATTCACGCTCATTCACACAGCTCAAAATATCCGTTTGTGATATTTTAAGCATATTGAATATTTATTGTTTCACTAACAAGAATTGAATTGTGCAAAGTAAACAGTGAATTGTGACAAACTGAGAAAACGTGACGCTTTAGTTCGCTTGAGGACGCATTCCAGTATCGGCATCGATATCAGAATTCAAGATGAAGTTCTTCTAGAGTCATTTTTGTTCATGGCATGATGTAGCGCCGCAATAATCGCTTGGATTTAAGTGAGAAAAGAAGAAACTGAGTTCAGACACAAAGACATATTTAATATAAACATCAGAACAACTCGTGCATTTTTAAATTGCCCTTTTTTATTGCTTGTATTGAGACTGTTGCTGCTACAGCTATCCCCTAAACTTTAGTTTCCACCTTTCTGGAATTTTCTTTAATTAAATACATTTCATCCCCCCACCACCACCACCCCACCCCCATAAATGTGAGCATAGCAGTGTTTTCATCTGTGTGTGAGTGAGTGTGTGTCGGCCTGTGTGGGAGGAGAACAGCACTGCTGGCTGGAGGAGGACGTGAGAGAAAGAAAAAGAGGAGTAAAGAATTTTCTGGAACAAAACCTGCTGCTTCTAACTCCTAGATAAAAGCCTCCTACTCACTATCTCCACCTCAGAGCAGATTACACTGCATTTCTGTTTCACATCATTTTGTTGCTTCATCGTTTTGTTATTACCATTAACATCGTTACACACTGGGCTTTTAAACATTACCTTAAACTGCAGAGTAATAGCATTATATTGCTTGTTTTTTTTTTAATTTTAGATATCTATACAGAACTGCAAATGAGACTTTATGAGAACTGGGTCAGGTGAAGAACAGTGGACTAACATCAAGCCAAGAAAGTCAGATACTCACTGATCAACACCATGGGAAAGGCTGCCCAGTGAACCTGAAACAGAAAAGATTTTTAAGGATGTGGTTCACTCATTTAATCAGTACATTTGCAGAGGTCTCTAGTAGGAATAAATGCCTTGTAAGTCGTACTCAGGGGGGAAAAAGCTCCTGTTTCAGGAACTAGAAGTGAGCCACGTCAGAGCTGAGCTTTAGACAACAGGATCTGGAGTCTTATTTCCTGATATTTGGACATCTCTCCTCTGATTGGCCCACAGCAATACGACTCTACCACTAACTCTGCAACGTTCATGTTTTATCTCCACAAATAACACAATCCTGGAGGAGTTCTGCTGTGTGGCGGAGCTGCTAATGCTAACAGTTAGTTTCTACTAGCAGGGCATTCTCTGCTGTTTCCTGGACGCTAAACCAACAACATCCTTCCCCGTCATGAGTCAAGATGGGTGAGTCCATGAATGTTCAGTGACAGTGTGACGTTGATCTGTCAGGATTTTCTGATCCTAAAGTTTCACCATCTGTTTTCTATCAGAAGCTGATGCAGGAGATAGGTGTAGGAGACTATTTTCATGTTCAGCCTGCATGAAACACTCAGAGTGACCGATTAGAATCAGAAAAAATCATTAAAAAATGGTTTTGCTGGGTTTCACACTTTTAAATAATGACATAAAAATTAACTAAGATTGAGGACGAGTTAAAATGCTGCAGAACATCTTTAACTCTTTAACCTCCACAAGGATTATTTTTTTATTTCAAAATAATTTAGGGCTAAAGTGATTTTAATATAATGTAAATAAATAATCATTTAAACCTATGAAATAATTACTAATATTAGTATTTAGCATTTCATAGAAATTTATATGTATATTTTAAAATTTTCTGTTTGTTTATCTTTATTTAATTTCAGTACATGCTGGAATGTGATTGTTTTTCATAATAAAGCGATAGATTATTAAAACTAATAAGTTTGCTGCTTTGTAAAATAAAAATACACATTGGAATATTTATTATCTCATTTTACCCACTTACACTTTACACACATTTGTTTGCTTTTTTCAGAATGTTCTTCTCTAGGGACCAGCGATATTGGAATTATAAAAACATCTATAATACCACTACTACTAATAATAATAATAATAATACGTATAATAATAATAGTAATAATAATAATAATAATAACAATAACAACAACAACAATAATAATAATAATAATAACAATAATAATAATAATAAAATGAAAACAACCTGGTGTGAAATCACAAAAATACCAAAACATCAAAAATTTTGACCATTTTCTGTTGACATTATTTACAAAGAATTTCCTTCATTTTATTGAATGAAATGTTTTAATAAGAAGAAAATTAAAAGTTTTCAGTTGTCTTCATTTTTTGGAAGTGTTTACAAAAATCTCACAATGATATAACAAGCTTTCAGAGCCTTTGGGGAACAGCAGTACTACTTTTAATAGACTCTCAATGCGGTATAATAATCTTAGTTCAAGTACCATCAGAGACACCAACAAGACTCTAAAAATCCCCGTTTATGATCAAGCACAAGTCTCAGCAGTCTAATCATCTATAAGCACAGTCACAAAAGTGAGTTTTTGTTGATGGATGCCAAAATAAAGAAAAAACCTGAAACATGCTTAAAATGCAAATGGTAGTCAAAGGTTATTGAAAGTGCAGCATCGACAACTCAAATCAGTCCTCTGGCAGTTGCTCTTGAGCCAGCACACACACACACACGCACACACACATCTTTAATTTCCTCTTCACGCTGGCTGGAATTCCTGGCGATCCGAGACAGAAAAAGCTGCCAACTTTACACACTGCAGAAACTCTGGTTATACGTTCCATCTGTGTAGGGCTGCGTACCCATTTCACCGAATTCACACATGTATTTAGCTGCATCTAATGGCACAATGGCTTTTTATCAATGCAACAGGCAATCTGTGAGGTCTGCACTGCAAACTAAAGTCGTGGCAGGTCAAAATCTATATCAAAATAGTTGAAGTTTGAATTCAAAATTCTTTGCATTGTTTTACCACATTTTAAAAAGGGTCCAACAAAAACTTTGTTTTACAACAGAAAGTCTCCTTTGAGACTCTATAGAATATGAATCTTTGTTGGGGCTCCAAATAGCCCAAGAGCCCTGATTAAAGGGCAAACACAACCCCACAAAAAAAACCTACAATGCAAAGACTGGCTTGCCCCGCCCACTCAGCCAGGCCATAAACCGTAAATGAGCAGTGTGCTGATTGGCTGGTTTCCCTTGATGGCTCTATGATGCTGCTTCACACAAGAAACTCTTTGTAGAGAAGTGTACAGGATCTGTAACCCTCAACAGGAAGCTATGGGTCTATCTGGCATTTGTGCAAAGTCTGAATATTCTGAGTACATCCTGGAACGTTACATGTGTGCTCCAACATTTTTTGTTGTTGTTTTTCTTCCATCCAACATGGACGTTAGCATAAGTGCAGGCTAGCGTAGCTCTATGGTTAGAATTATCGCCACAAATATGTATTTATTATCTATGCTGAAGTGGACTGGGATGTGCAAATCTAAGGCGGTCTAAGTTTATGAGATGTTACACCCAGTTTTTCTCAGAACCAACCGTTTCTCCGTGGCCATTACAACATTACTAATTTGTGTAGGAAAACAGGTCGGAGAAGACAGACTTTTTAAAGTGTGCTACACTGGACACCCTAAGCAGACGTTTTGAATTTTAGAACCGCTTTAAATCAAATACAAGACTTTCACTTGTAATTTAGGTCTTTCATTTCACAAATAATGGCCTAGACGCTAGCCCTTTATATGCAATAACTGTATACCTTTCTCAGATAAGATGCGACAACATCAGCATCTATAGTTAAAGACAGCATCGGATAAAACTAAAGCACACTGGTGTAACACATATTGGGCATTCCTACAATAAAAACAAGGCATGATTGCATATTAAACTGTTTTTGTGTTACTCATTTGATATGAGGAGAGAACATTATAGTCAGTTAGGTGCTGTGCTTCTCAAATCTCTTACATTATTGTTATACACCACTATTAAACTACTAACCAAGTCACGTTCGCTCAGTCCACACTCTTATCCATTTGGTCCGACACTAAAGGAGTCCTCTTTCTTTCCATTTCCACGTGCACCCCATCATTAGTACAGACTGCTGACCTGGACCTCTCTTTGTTGTTTCTCCAGTTTGGCATTAGGCCTAATGAGGTTTGCTAATGGTCCTTTTAAGATTGTTTGAAGAAAGACAACAGTGAACCAATGTGCACGGTCATTAAGTGCACACTCGCTGTGTCTACAACCATCCAAAAGTGCTTTGTTGGAGATAGGTTGAACATACTTAAAGCATGAGTCAAGAGATACAGATACTCAATTTTAGCCGATTCAGCAGGACTCCTTCATTCTTCGTGCACAGAGGACAAAAAATAAGTTAAAGTCAGTCAGAGAATCGATAGCTTGGCCTTTCCACTGAATGCATAAGCAGTACGAAAACGCAGTAGACAAGTTTTCCCAGTGAGTTCATGAGCGCGTCACATTTCAACTGGACTGCAAGACTGTGTGTGATTTCAACAGGTGGCTCGATAAAAAGAGAGAAGAAAGATGACAATGTATTTAAAAAGGTGTGGTTTCTTTTCTGTTCATCATTTACTAGGCTACGAAGGTTTCACAGGTGTTGACATTAGGGATGGGTACCAAATTCTGTACTTTTTAAGGTACCGACCGAATTCCATAGTACCGACCGAGCACCGATTCACGTCATTTCAAACGGTGCCTCGTTTCGGTACCTGTCCTTCATAACAAGAACTTGCCAAGACAGCTGCGCATGCGCAAGAGCGTTATGTTGTCGCTCGCTGCGAGCCAGTTGTAAACAGAGCAGCATGGTAGAAAGAACGCACGCTAAAGCTTGGGTCCACTTCACTAAATGTGATGGGTAACTGGGTGATGATGAAACCAGCGACAGCGATTTAAGTGAGACATCCTCATCTTAATCTGCTCCGGTAGGTGAATAAAATGTTTAAGATAACGTTAGCTTGATATGTTAGCTTCCGTTCCGCTAATGGTGCGTTCGCTTTCTCCTCGGAACTCAGAATTTCCGACTAGAAAAACATGAACGCGTTCTAAAGTTTGGCTTCACTTTACTAAATGCGACGGGTGAAGATGAAACCAGCGACAACGATCTAAGTGTGAGGCATCATCGTTTTAATCTGCTCCAGCAGCTAAAAACTGTTTAAGATAACGTTAGCTTGATATGTTAGCTTCCATTGCCACAGTTGTTATCAGCTAATGGAGCGTTCGCTTTCTCCTCGGAAATTCTAACTTCCCAGTAGGAAAAATCAAATGAAAAAAGATGGCAAAAGGAATGAAGATACACAGTAAATTTAGTTCACAGTAGATGTTTGCTTCAGTTTAATTATCAGCTTATAAAACTACAAGGACGATGTTAAAATACAAACAGTTGAATGTTATTTATCGTGATATTTATCAAATATTGTTATATATTGAGAAAAATATATATTTAATTATAAAAGAGAATTAAAATAATAAACACTCAAAAGTATCGAAAATTGGTACCGTTAAGTACCGGTATCGATTCCTAGGTACCGGGAATTAGTACCGAATCGATTCAAATGTCAAAGGTACCCATCCCTAATTGACATTCTCATTTATGTATTTTATTTTGAAAGTGTCTGGATGTTTTACACCACTTCACAAGTGAATTCCTGTCTGGCTTGATCTTAATTGCGTATAAAAATACTAAAAGCGTAAATCTAGAGGAGCGACACGCCCTAACGTTTCTGTAACACGTCCAAAACATGATATTTCGTGGCCATTGGAAACGCACCCATCGACCACAACGGTAGCTCATGGCCAAGTACTTCCCTTCATTGATGTTTCGTAATGCTTATGTGTCCAGTGGAAAGGCCTCTTAAGAAAAGGTTGGAATTTTGAAAAAGATGCAGCCGACTTTGGAGAACATAGAAAATGAATAACAATATTGGAAGAATTGGTCAGTAACTCAGTTTG